GGGCAAACGGGGACAAAGCGTGGGCAAACGGGGACAAAGCGTGGGCAAACGGGGACAAAGCGTGGGCAAACGGGGACAAAAAAGAAAAAGAAAAGAAAAGAAAAGAAAAATGGGATGAAGCGTGCCCAATAACGCAGGGGATAAAAAACAAAACATGGCAAACACTGAGGTCAGATACAAGCGTCACTCGACTTTAATCATCACTGGGACTCTACAGGAAATGACTTTAAATGGGACCTTCGACTTATTTATTTCTAGTTTCACGGTGTGTGCTACTCTCAGAAATAACAAAGTGATGAAGAGCAGCAGTGGAAGCAGCTGTACCTGGTCCAGTGAGCCTCGAAGAAAGCAGAGTAGTAGACGATGGTTGGCAGCAGAGCAGAGAAAGCCCAGAGCAGCAGGGTGGGGAAGAACTGAGTGACGATGGGGTTCTGTTCAAGAAACCAAGAAAAACAATTCATCCGACCAAACATCCACCCAATCAACCCAAACCATTCACCAACAAAGCATTGATCCAAGCACCCAACAGACAGAGAGCACAGAGTCAGAGCTGAAGGAATCGGCCTGAAGCCGGACTATACACCTGCTTCACGCTTCTTACATTCAGATACTCGACGGGCTTGGTGACGTTGAACTTGTCCATGGTGGAAATGATGATTGCGGGCGTGGTGAGGAAGAAGAGCAGAATGAAGAGGATGCAGTTGATGACAAAACAACGGATCCACCAGGAGATCCCGCCCAATGAAAGGTGTTCCCTACAGGAAGGAACACAGAGTCAGCTGATCTCAAAGGGCGCATTTATTTGTCCAAAGTTTCAGGTGGGCGGAGCGTGCGGACATACCAGCGGACATTCTGTGGGTCGGGTGCGTACGAAACACTCCAGTTATGAACGTGAAGAACCTCGCTGAACTGAGAGGAACGTGGCTCCTGACGACATCGACACCCCTGAACCTGACAGGCGTTAAAGTCCTTCAAAATGCTGAGAAAAGAAGAGCCGTGAGCAGAGGTGAGGTCAAAGACATGACAAGGATTCGAACGTGAGGGGTGTGGCTAACGTGAGGTGGAGGCAGGTGAGACATTTTGTTAGAGAAAACTATAAAAACCATAAAATATTTAACGATCGCCAAATGAGAAGTTTTTGAGGAGAAAAATAGGGGGAGGAGTCTGAGACAGATAAAGAGGAAGTGAAGCGAGTGGCTTACATGGCAGTCATGGCCTCATTCTGGAAGGTGACAAAGGCCATGCCCAGAGGCTTGGTGTGGACCTTTTCCTTCTCCTTCCTGTACTCCTCCTTGAGTTTGGCCTCCCTCTTGGTGTAGTAGCTGACCGCCTCCTCCTACAGACCACAGAAAAGCGTCAACAAACCGCCACCTGACATGCTAACATTAGCACGTTAGCATTTGAATTATGTTAAAGGTTGGCGATGTCGTGACGACTTGCAGGACAGGTGAAGTAACCCTGAAGTCCAACTTGCTGCTCCTGGACTCATCATTCTGAGTACCAGCTCGCCATTTTCTGTATTGGCGGCATTTTAACAACGGAAACACCACAACATAACGCAGAGACACGCGACGCAGGACAAAATCATTGCGCAGTTGATGAACTGAAGGGAATGTGCAGAAACGTCGCTGTATAATGAGCCCAGCTAGCTAGTTAGCAGCTGCTGATGTGACCGCGCACGGTTCTGCTATGGGGGCGATGTCTTTGTTTTTACCTCCTCACAGCCAGCGATGGCGCAACAGCAGAGGTGTCCGCAGGGCTTGGGGTTGATCATGGTGGGAACGTGTTCTTTAGCCATCAGGTCGGTAAAAAACTTCTTGCTGCGCTCAGTCTTCTTCCTGCAAAACACGAATGAAGTCATCAGGTGACGACGTGGAGCACTTTCCTGCTCGTGTCAGATGCTTACTCCTCGGCGCCCTTTAGCAATAACGATATTTGGAATGAATGTAGCTTGTTTGCAGCTCTGGAGGCCAGGATCACTGAATTGGAGACTGGGCTTCACACCGTCATAAAAACCTGTAGTAAGCCAGGCTCCTGTAGCCGGGGCAGCTGAAGGTAACGTAGGCCATGCTAGCTGACCAGACTTGAATTTCACATAAGGAGCAGTTTAGTTAATCAGAAGACAAACAGGTCTGGATAAACCTGCTAAAAGAAAAAGAAAAAACAAAAGCCGTGTAGCGACAACAAGCAATGTGAATAAAAACAAACCTGGGTTAAAGTTGTCAGCAATGATTCAACTAAAGTCTGCAATTTGTTTTTCATTGGCTGTGGCTCTGCAGCACAAATCAAATCATCAGTCTTCATGTAAACACCTGTGATTGGTTGTGCAAAAGGTCAAAGGTCTGCTTGAATCTATTAAATTTATCGGGTCCAACTGGTCGATGTGGAGTCAGAAACAAGGCTTCTGGAGCGGAGCTGAACATGACAGCAGTAATCTGTATTTAGATTACTGCAAGGTGGAAAAGACAGAATGCTTGTGAAGAGCTTGGAGATGTTCACACAGCTCAGGGGTCAAAACCAGCTGATCGATGCATTTCTACTTATAAACGTGATGCGTTCAGAGTCTCACATTTTCATGCATATGAATGATTACTGTGTGGGTGTGTGAGATTTTACTCCCAGCATGCACTGGGCCTCACCTTTCAGCGTTCAGAGCCATCAGTTTGGCCACGTTATAGCAGATCCGAGCCTCGAGCACCGTGCAGTTCTCGTACGCCTGCCTGCAGGACACAGAGGAGGCACACCACCATCAGAACAAGCGTTCGATTCCTGCACCCTCCCACAGCAGCGCTGCAGGACTCACAGCTCATAATCATCCTTCTTTATCTGATGCTGGGCCTCGTGCAGTGTCTGAAACAAGCTGCTTTAGCCCTGCCCCCTTTCACTTTCATCTGACTGGCCATGTGCCCCAGATGACCATATTAGGGACATCCCTTCTGAATGAAACTGTGATAAGCTGAGTGTTCAGGGCAGACTCATGGGGGTTACACTCATCATCAGAAACTCGGAGCAGGAGAACAGCTCCGTGCAGTCACTGACAGGAGAGCGTGGAACTTACTCAAAGTGCTGTTTGATCTGACTCTCCTCGGCATACTTGGAGATGCCGTTGATGAACAGAGTGCGTTTCACCTGCAAGACACCAAATTGGGATTACCGCACGGCTAAGCGCACAAATGCCACGTCCTCAGAGTTCACGGACTTCCTACCAGGTCGTCCTCCTTGTAGTGCATCTTAGACGTGTGCCTCCTCATGCTGTAGACGGTCAGCAGCAGATACATGAAGGCAAACGTGGTGTGCAGCCAGAGCAGGTTCGTCCTGCAATGTAGCAAACCCCCAGATTACACCTCTCAACAGGAAGGTTCACAAGCTTTTACTCTGAAACATCTGCAGGAAACAACGCCGTGATTAACAAAGCAAAGAAGAAGATATGAAATCTCACCCAGACTTCAGGTTGGCTATCGTCGTGCGTCCAAAGCTGTAGGCGTTGTTTTCTGGAAGAAAGCAAAGGTCACATGAAGCCCGAGTGTGCACGAGTGCTTTTCCTAACATCAGCCATTGCATCACCAGATGTGTGCTGGTGGACTTCCAGTAGTCACGGTGTTTATAGTGGGAAAGCTTGGAGTGGAGCTTTATTGGCTTAAATGTCGTTGTGTTGCAAAGACAGAAATAAAACGCAGCGTCTGAGTCACTGAGCGACGTGTTTATTGATGGTTTCATATGCCCGACTCAGCGTGACTTCTTTAAAGCTTCGTCCACGGGTGTTTCTGAATCCTCGAAGGCCATTTCGCCGAGCGGACGCCCTCCATGTGCGTCTGACAGGAAGAGCTTTTATTGTTGACACCCCGCCCCTGGGTCAGCACAGGAAGTCATCATAGCCACTTTCACCTCCTTACCTACCGCCTGTCACTATGACAAAACCACAGCACGTTTCTAACACGGCACTCGTACTACAGACCAGATGGGACCGAGTCTACCATTAGCCACAGTCTACAGGGCGCAGGGCGCCTACGCCTCTGACCCCACCCACTTTACCTTCTTTGGAGGGTGGTCCAGGTGTTCCTCGGCTGAGGAAAGCATCTTTACTGATAATTCGGACTAAAACATTCAGACAGAAGGCGAGAAGGCGGTGAGTGACACATCAAGACCCGAGACCCTCAGACCGAGTTGCTCTTACCCAGAAGGTCTCCAGAGAAGTTCACGGGCAGGACGATGCCGACCGAGAGGACGCCGACCACGACCAGAAGGCCGATGATGTGACGCTGGAAGGACAAGTAGTGAACGGCGTCTTCGCCACACTTCTCACGAATCTCCTCGTCTCTGCGGCAGAAACAGGAGGAGTCACGGTCTGTTCTTACACAGGGAAATCTGAGTGTCTGTGATGAGTTCACAGTCTGTGGTAACGATGGGACAGTGGAGCTTTCGGTCTGACCGTGAAAGCGAGAAGCCGTTTCCTCATACTCACTTTATTCTGAAGATGGCGGTCAGCCACGAGCAGAAACCCTGAAACACAAACAGGAAGAAGACGACAGCTTTACAGCAAGCGAAATGACAGTGAAAGCCCCGACTGTGCCTGGGATTCCTCATCCTCACAAGCCGCAGGTGTGCAGGCGAGGCCAGTGGGCGGGGCCTCAGCTAACCGTTAGCGGTCGCAGCTCAAAGTACCCAGAGCTGCCGAGCTGAACAATGGCCGATGGATTAGGAACACAGATCACAGACGTACTCTGAGTGTCCTGCTTTAACTCATGAATTAAATCCTGACTGAGGTTGTCATAATTCATCCGTGACAAGGTTAAATAACAATAATTACAAAGAAACACGTCAAACATCTGTAGTAACATTAAATGACCAGCAGGTGGCAGGTATGGAGGGACACATCAGTGTCCAACGTAGTGGTTTATGTGCAGGTACACCAACAACACTGACACGGATACAACAACAGCCTTTGAATAGCTGTCCACTGTGGTGGCCGCTATGATGACGCCAGATGATGATGATGATGATGATGTGTGTGCGTTTTGTGAGTTCTGCCCAGTTTGGATGAACTTTGACCCTCTGTCAGCTAACGGCTAACTGTGGCGGAGCAGGAAGAGGAGGGAGTGATGAAGGTGTTCTTACGTTGTCTCTCTGGTCGAAGTCAACAGAGCTGGAAACCGAGGTGAGGCGTTCATAGCGGTCGGGCGTCTCCGAGTGCATCGCCGAGGCAACACTGTGGACACAAACAGGAATGTTAGTATGGGGCCCTCTGACCTTTGACCTCTGTGTGTGACAGCTGGTAAGACTCCAGAGTTCCTTTGAAAATGAGTTTCGAGACACTAAACACAGACGACGGTTCACCAAGCACAAACCTGGATCGGCACGCCCGCTCGATCGCAGTGACCCCGCGCGCTCGACTGAGCGGCGACCCCGCTGTGGTGGCGACCCCGCTCGCTCGATCGCGGCGACCCTTCACTGGGTTAAAATTGACGGATTTGGGAGAAACGGCTTAGAGCCAAACCGTCGGCTCAGCTGGAAACGCAAATAAAGATCTGAGTCACGTTTATCCAACAAAAGCTCTGTGGCGGTCGGTACAGCAGGAACTTCAAGCTTCAAACCGCTCAGGAACCGGACTTGATCCACCGGACCTGCTGCCTCACGTCTTTAACGGTTTCTACGCGTTTCTGCCTCCACTGTCACAGTTTGCAGGTTAAGGACTAAACAGCAGAGTCGGGGGGAAAGTTCAGCGATCTGAAGTCTGTAAACGGCGTTACAAAAATCCAGCCGACAGAAGGAAACGCACAGAGGACGACGGCGCCATTTATACTAGGACAGGAAGTAAAACTGAATACAGAACAGGGACAACTAACAAAGTAAAACAGGAAGTAAGCGACAATAACTCGGGAACGTCAGACACAAAAACCTGACACGGGGAAACACACAGGAGGAATGTGAGGGAACTAACGCACTCGAACACGACAACAACACGAAACTAAGAGCCAAACGGAGAACAGCTGACATCACAACACACAAGAACTTCAGAGAGTCGGGGTCCAGAACCGCAGGACCACCACGTTTACACAAAGGTGGGAATCACCATGGCAACCAGTGACCCCAATAATGATCGGCTGTTCTGTAGTGCTGACATCTTTAACGTCGACTACGTTTGCTCTTACGTTTTCAGTTATTATCGTTTTAGCTGCCGACTCTGAGCGTGGGCGTGGCTACGGCACGTTGGGCTACTGAGTCATCTAGCTAGAACGTCACAGGGGTCCACACACGCGGGTAGCCGTTACCTTTTCACCGGCTCATAGTTATCTCTGTCGCGCCTTCGGCTGAGTTTGACACAAACATGGAGAGAAGCGTGGAGTGGTGTTAGCATCACAGCAGGTAGCATAATTAGCCATTTCAATGCTGTAAAAACACAGTGTTCATGTGCTGCGGAGGGCAATTAGTGCCTCACTGACACAGTTCAATGTGCCCCCCCCCCCGTGGGAGAAATCTGATCCATCTCTTCTTAATAATATAGCGCATGGCAATGAACCATTTTGCCTAAATAGGAAGCCCACTTTGAGCCAAACAAACACAAACACAACAGGAGGATTAAAGTGTTGCAGTGCAACCAAGTGCCAAGCAGTTCAAATGTTATGTTTTTATAATTAAGCGCTTAAATGTAGCGAGCAGGCTGCTGCGGATAGATCTGTGCAGTCTGTTGGCACTAATAACCTTCCATACAGAAACCCAAACAAGTACAGACTGAAATGCAGAAAAGAGGTGTTAGTGCACCAACCAGAGAGCCCGTTAATCAAACCAGAGGAGGTTAGCAGACAAACCAAACAGGAAGGAAGCAACAACAACATACTATTCCCGCTCCTCCAGGTCGCTGAAACGCTTCTTCAGTCTTCAGGAGAGGAAACAGAAAATAACAAGGAGGTGATGCCAGTGAGAGGGAAACAACCCTGATCAGGTCACACAGCAGGAGCGCATCACGCCCACCACCGCGTTTACACATGGACGCTCAAAGATAGACACAGCCGCCATGATGTCACTGCGAAGCCTCGGGCTGAAGCTTTCTGCTAACGCCGCCTAATCCTACTGCTAAAACATGCTGTTAACCAATGAGCATCGAGTCAACCAATCAAGGAAGAGTCCCGCTGAGTCGGAGGCGCAGTTTCTTCTATATAGTCAGACTTTTTCCCCAACCAGCGTCGCCACCTGCTGGATATTAGTGAGAACGCAGATTTAAGGAGGCTTCACCTGTCAGATCTTGGAGGCTACGTCCATCTTTAATACTGTCGGTGTTTGTTGGGGGTAGACATGTTACTTGAACCGTGTTTTTACTTGTTCATTGTTAAGTCAAATTGTGTTTCTTAAATTTGTAAGTCTGAGTGCAAATCTATAGGATCAAGACATTCCTTTGTCTCCGACCACCTCTCCAGCCACTCAGGGGGAGGTTTTACTGCAGATGCATCCTATCTGACAGATCTGTTTCTTGTGTGGTCGGCTTCCTGCCCTTCTGTGGCTTCACTGTGTTGTGCACGGTGAACCAATACAGGAAGTGAACCATATATTGGGTGTGGGGGAGATTACCATTTTGTGACTAAGGATGTTGTTAGAAACAGTTGGAAGTCACGCACGCACACACACACACACACACACACACGTTCTTGCACATGCATACAGATGTTTACACACACGTTCTTGCACATGCATACAGATGTTTACACACACACACACACACACGTTCTTGCACATGCATACAGATGTTTACACACACACACACGTTCTTGCACATGCATACAGATGTTTACACACACACACGTTCTTGCACATGCATACAGAT